ACAACTCTTTTCTTCAGGAGGGGGATGATGGTGGTGGTCTTAAAGCATGAAGGAACAGCATGTGTGAGGGACAGGTTGAATATGTCTATGAGCACACCAGTGAGTTGTGAAGAGCAAACCTTGAGTGTACGCCTGGGTATGTTGTCTGGGCCAGCTGCTTTCTGTGGATGTATTCTCTTCAGTGCCTTGCACACCTGCACTGGTGTCACCATGAGTGATGGGTTCTGTGTGCTCCCCATGTCCAAAACCTCTCTCTGTTTGTTGGGGTTGAGAGAATCAAATCAAGCATCGAACTTGTTTAGCTCATCTGGCAGTGTAGTGTGGCTCGTTGTGACCTCTTTGCTTCTCTGTTGGTAGTCTGTGGTGTGACTCAGTCCCTGCCACGTGAGCTGGGAGTCCACAGAGGAAGAGCATTCCTCCAGCTTCAGTCTGGACTGTCTCTTGGCTTGTCTGATAGATTCATGCAGGTCATATCTGGCCCTCTTCTAGTTTTCTGCATTACCTAAGTTGTGCGTACGAGTGATTTAGGAGAACTTATCATTCACCAACTTTCTCATATTCTAAGATTTTCTTCAGTTACGAACAAAACTCAGGAGTGGTCCAGACCTGTGGTATATTTTACCTGCAGTCAGTCTGATGTTATCAGACTGATTTACTTCACTAATAACTTCATATTTCATTAGTTTGAAGGTATTTAGAGTTGAAAATAAATCACACTCCTTAATTATGTTGACAATAGGCTATTCTGTTTGAATTAGAATTAGATTTTAAATGTAACGACATCAATTGGTTAGATTAAATTAAATTGGCTGTTAATGCTGTTGCATAACACTACAATATTAATATGAAGATCTCAAACTAAAAACAACTTAAATTATGCATTAATTGAAGTTTGGAGACATTTTAAAACGCTTTATTTCAGAACTGCATCTGTGGTTAGCTTCTTAGCTTAGCCTCATTCACAGTGGAGCTGGCACACACATGTCATGGCCAACTGATTCAGTCGTTTTAAAGGGATCCACGATTAGTTGTAACATTAGACTTTATTTGATAAACATATAATTTAACTGTAAAATAAAGACTGTAAAAATACTGTAGGATGTTTAGTTTTGTAAATTTTAAAAACATATTTTAACACGGACGAAGCCATTTTATTTCCACACAAAGCATTCTGGGTAAATGATGAC